TGAGTTGGAAGATAGAAGGACTGACCCGGAGGGGAGATTCCTGTTCTTGAAGGGTAAATTACAGGGAATTGAGTGTACACTAGCCAATATATATTGCCCCAACAAGAAACTGGAGATCTTTTTGAAGGGTTTGCTGAAAAAACTGATAGAGTTCAAAAAAGGGCGTTTGATAATAGCAGGAGATTTAAACCTTTGCATGGACCCACAAAAGGATGCAACCTCCCTTGTGCAGAGAGAGGGTGGTAGGTCTCTGAGGGCCTTGAAGAAGGCGATCCACGAGTACCAATTGGTGGATACTTGGAGAATGATGCATATGAAAGACAGAGACTATACCTTCTTCTCTAATGCACATGAGATATACTCGAGACTGGATTATATTCTAATAGATCATCAACTCATTGAAATGCTGGTTAAAATAGAAATAGAGACAAGAACTTTCTCGGATCATGCCCCTGTCATAATGAAAATAGGATGGGGAAAAAGGTGGACGGGAGGCTTAGGATGGAGGTTAAATGAGGCTCTTCTCTTGGATGAGGAAATCGTGCAGAAGATCAGGGAAGAGATCAAGGTATATTTCAAGGAGAATGAGACAGAGGAAGTATCGACAGCTACAGTATGGGAAAGTCATAAGGCATATATAAGAGGAATCTTGATTGCAATGGGAGCAAGGAAGAAAAAAGAAAGAAGAGAGAGGGTTAGTGGACTCTTAAAGGAAATCCTGGAGTTGGAGCAGATACATAAGAAGAAAATAACAATAGAAACAAGACAGAAGTTAATGGATAAAAAAGACGAACTAGAGAGATTGATGGAAGAGGAGAGGAGAAGAGTATATAATAAAGTATTAAGTGAAAGATATAGATGGGGAGATAGACCAGGAAAATACTTAATGAGAGCTCTGAATAAAAAGAAAAACAGGAATTATATAGAAAAGATAAAAAGCCCTAAGGGGGAGTTGGTTCACTCAACTAAAGAAATCATTAAAGTATTTACGGAGTATTATAGAAAGTTGTATAACATCAGTCACCAAGGGTCACCAAAAGAAATTAGAGAAGGTATTAACGAAAAAAGGAAGATATATTTAAAAAATGCGGGATTGCCAAAGCTCAGTGAAACACAATTGAACTCCTTGGATGCGGAAATTTCCCAGGAAGAAATAGAAGCAGCATTAAGAAGTACAGGGGGAGGGAAAAGCCCAGGCCCGGATGGTTATACAGTTAAGTACTATAAAAAATTTTGTGAAGTATTGTTACCAAAGTTGAGGAAATATATGAATGACCTGGGAGGCGGGATGGAGGGGAGGAGGGAATCCCTTCAGGCCCATGTCGTTCTCATCCACAAGGAGGGAAAAGATCCTTCTCAGTGCTCTAGCTACAGACCAATTTCATTATTAAACACCGATACCAAGTTGTACGCAAAGGTCCTAGCAAATAGGTTGAAAGATCTAATGCCCGAATGGATCCATGGAGACCAGGTGGGCTTTGTCCCGGGGAGAGAGGGTAGAGACAATGGGTTGAGAACTTTGATGCTTATCCAGAAAAGTAGAAAAGGGAAAGCCCCGGTGGTGCTCTTGTCAATTGATGCCGAAAAGGCGTTTGATAGAGTGGACTGGGGCTTTATGATAGACAACTTGGAGGTGTTGGGGATTGGAGAGAGAATGCGTGAGTGGATAGGTAAATTATATAGGGAGCCCACCGCAATCATCACGGTAAATGGGGAGAGGTCGGAATCCATTGGGATGTCCAATGGAACAAGACAGGGATGTCCACTGTCCCCCTTGCTGTATGTTTTGACATTGGAACCCCTGCTATCAATAATAAGGAATAGTGGAGCGATAAAGGGAATACAGGTAGAAAATATAGAACATAAAGTAGCGGCCTTTGCGGACGACTTGTTGTTTTATGTAGGCAATCCCCGAATAACACTACCAAGTATAATGAAGATACTGAAGGAATATGGTGAACTATCAAATCTAAAAATTAACCCAACAAAAACAGAGATCCTGAACATTAATATACCAAAAAGTGAAAAAGAAAAGCTACAAAAAGAATTCCCCTTTATGTGGAGAGAAAAAGATATAAAATACCTAGGAATAAAACTTGCTACCTCATATAAACAACTGTATAGACTAAACTATATTTCTCTGATAAATGAGACTAAGGACGAACTAAAAAGATTAGAAGGAGGAAACCCATCATGGTTAGGATGTATAAACCTAATTAAAATGGTAATTATACCTAAAATACTCTATAGATTTCAAATGATCCCAATCAAACTCCCAGAGGCGTTTTTTAAGATAATGAGAAGAATGTTAACAAGATATATATGGAAGAATAAAAAACCAAGAATATCATATGAAACACTAAGTAGGACTAAAGAGAAAGGGGGGATGGGACTACCTGATGTCAAGAGATATTACAAAGCTGTAATTTTAGCAAGAATTTATGATTGGACTTTTAATTATAAGGGGAAAATTTGGGTAAAAATAGAAAATGAATTGAGTGGAATTAATTTGAATAAGATGATATGAGAATGACCTTCTTGATCCCATTCAATCTGAATTTCGCCTGCAACACTCCACAGAAACTGCTCTCCTAAAGCTCACAAATGATTTATTAACAGCTAAAAGCAACGGTCACTATTCCATACTTGCATCTTACCTATCACACTGCACCTTCAGTGTTACTCACAACTCTATTTCCTCCTCTCCTATTCCTCTTACCATTGGGGTTCCCCAAAGTTTTGCCCTTGGACCTCTCCTATTCTCTATCTACATCTCTTCCCTGTGTCAGCTGATAGCTTCCCATGGGTTCCAATACCATTTATATTACCATTACTATTTATATACCATATTTAGGCTGATGACACACAAATCTATCTCTCTACCCCTCAGCTCACCCCATCAATTTCCTCACGTATCACTGATTTACTAACAGACATATCAAACTGGATGTCACAGCACTTCCTCATACTTAATATATCCAAAACTGAGCTCATAATATTTCCTCTCCCAAGTGCACCTTCCCCTGATTTTTCAGGCAAGATCAATAGCTTAACTATCAACCCATTCCCACACTTGCCGAAAAGGAGGAGCCTGGAGCGTCAGTGGAGGACCTGAGAAGAGAAGGATCAGGGCTGCTCTGTGCAAAACCATTGCACAGAGCAGGTAAGTATGATATGTTTGTTTATTTTATTTTTTTTAAAAAAGGAAGGTTTATTGTCGCTTTAACTATAACTATTCTAAAAATGTTCCCTCCTCCTTTCCCCTACCTATCCTTCCTAACCTATATAAAAAAAATCTGTATATTTACCTATTTTCAATCCACTCTGGTCCAGTCAAGGCCTTAGCCTTGCAACTGTAAAGCAGCCAGTGACAATCGAGGGCCTTGCCTTTCCCAATTTTTTTTCAGTATTTCTTGGCAGGGCAGCTGGTACATGCTCACAACTGACTCACTGGATAAAGGGAATGCCTCAGTTGTGGCAGACGCTGTGGTGCTTGGGTCCTACAGGGCACTCCAATCACTCCTTTACAGGGGTTGCCGAGCCCCGTACCCTCTTACTAGAACCATGAAGGCTACGGTTAGGAATAAGGCCGGGGTGCTCCATTCACAGTCCCCTAACCACCCACTTCTTCTTCAGTTATTTTGGGTCTTGGAATCAGTTATATGGGCAATTGGGGGCATCAAGAAGCTGGGTGGCATAATAATTGATGGCTGCCTACCATCAAGCTAAATTCTCTTTACCCAGCTGGTATTTCTTTCTATATCTATGTGTATTCTTTTCTATATCTACATCATGCATGCTTATCTCAGTTTGGCTCGGTCACTATTGCCCTTCAAGTCAATGACTTGGGATCGTTGCTCTGCACTGAATCCCTTCTTGAGGCACATTCAACAAATCTCAAGTCTGGACAATGTTGATGGGACAATGTCTGGGACCTCCTCTTCTAATATCCTATTCCTATAAAGGATAGATTGATTCAATTCAAAATTGTTCACTATTTTTACCTCACACCAGAGAGAGTGGGGAAATTTACAACTACTGATTCTGGGCTATGTTAGCATTTTTTAGCCCACAGGCAGATTTTCTTCATATCTTCTGTACTTGTCCAGCGATGGCTAGTTACTGGTCACAGAATATACAATTCATCCCAACCATAATGACTATTCAGATACCTCAGGTTCTGCAGGTCTGTCTGTTGGGCCTAGTGGAACCTCTGGCTCCCAGAAAGGTCACAAGAAGTGCAGTGTTATACTATGCTAGGAAAGCAACATTTTGAGGCTTGAAATATTGTGGAGTTTTGTTTTGGAGGTTTATATTTTAACTTTATAGCACCTGACAATGGATTAATTTCAAGTGGAATCAAACCCAAAATCAAACATTTATTATATTACAACTGACCAACTATAGATGTAATGGCTGCATTAGTTTTCTTTTTAAGGCTTTCTTTCTTCTATTTTCATCTGGTGATCCGGCAGTAAGTCTGTTGTTCTTCAACATAACAGGTTCTCTTGTAGATCTATCAGTTACAGAAATGAGACCAACCAATCAACACTGACTTGGGTGTTTACAATGATCAGCTTTTATTTATTTAAATCTTTTATCCCAAAGGAGTTTGGCTTCAATTTGTAAGTGTAACTAAATCTAGTGCATCCAAAACTACCTCCCCCTCAAACTGGCAATGCTGTTGTCTGCTGTGCATCCTCTGCTCCTTCATCCAGAATGTGGCCACTCTAATACAAGAGTTGTGCTACTGTCCAGATCACCAAGTGAAAACAGAAGGGAAATGGACTATGAAGAGAAAACTAATGCAACCACCACATCTAATGATTGGTAAGCTGCAATATATCATATTTTTGTTTGGTTCCCTTTAGGAACTTTAATAGTCAAATTTTGAGCGAGAAGTCCTCTTTGTTACTCACCTCACTCATACAAACAGGCTGGTAGTCCCAGTAGATTGGTGTGCACATTACTATTTTGGAACAGTTTGATCAGTGACTTACCTCCACCAAAGACTTTGAGTGTGTATTGTGGCTGGCAGCTTTGAATAGGGTGTAGAAGATGAAACCAACAGCAATGACAATGAATGCACAGCAAGGAAGGACAAACCAAAGGGGATGCACACCTGTGAGAGTGGATGAAAAGTCACTTGTTAGAGATATATAAGCAAAGTACTCCCTCTGATAGAACATGACTCAACACAACTGGGCCTTTATAACATAATCAGGGGCATAGGGGCAGGGGCGGACTGACAACTCATGGGGCTCCCGGGCAATAGGGGATCATGGGGCCCGTGTGTCCTTGCCCAAACTCAAAAAAGCCTATGAAAAAGGTACCAGGGGCATCTCATGGGGCCCCCTACTGACCCCGGGCCCTAGTTTCCAAATGGTCAGTCCGCCCCTGCATAGCGGATGATTTACTAAAGGCAAATAGACTGTGCATTCCGCAAGTGCAGTTACTCCAGAGCTTAGTAAATGAGCAGAAGCTTTGCTGACTTCTATCATCCAATCATGTTCATGCAAACGTGCAGTTATTTTTCTTTTTTTTATTTTCCTTGCCCATGATTGGTTATTCTTTGCTTAGTGAAGCTTTACCTCATTTACTAAGCTCTGGAGCAACTGCACTTGCAGAGTGTTGCCCCACTTTACAAAGTGCACAGTCGACTTGCCTTTAGTAAATCAACCCAATAGTGTCTTCTCCCTATCCACAATTCAAGGCAGAGCTGACAATTTGCCAACTGGCTGTAAGTTACAGTCAAAACACTTTACATTTTAGATTATACTGTAGCTGTCTTTGAATCTAAGAAAAAGATTTAATCAGAATCAGCCAAAAAAAGATATCCTTTATTATTATTCTAGGACAGTCCTAAAGTGAAGGCAGCTAATATAGAGCTATACAGGCAGTGATGCTTTTTATTAAAATAGACGTAGATTCGGTAAGTCATTCTTTATGCTGGTGATTTAAAATTTATAGTGAAGCAGTTCTGAGCTTTTTACACTTTGTGGCAAGGAGCTATATGTAAATTGTGGCTACTAATTTAATTTAATCTTTTCTACTCTGAACTCTCATTGGTGTTTTTGCATTGTTTTACTGATAAAGAAAACCCTCTGTTTTTAGAGCAAACTGTTAGACAGGGCCAATTTGGTTGTTTTGCTGGCTGGTCGGTAAGTGTGCATGGAAATATTTTTGTTTGTTTGTTTATGCTGTGCATTGCCCTTCCATATGCACCTTGCTGTATAGGCCAGTTATAGATTGGGGTGGTTGCCACTTCTTGTACAGTTGGATGATTTGGGTGCAGGGATGCATGTGATGTCTTTGCTGCCATTATGCTCTTGCTGGGAGTCACGTACGTCCCTGTGCCTTAGTGGAGGAGTGGGCAACCTCCAGGCACACCTGCCCCTAATCTATCCATTCTTATATACTGTATGCTCCTACTATGGAGACTCTGGAAATTTAGAATTAGCAATTTGCTGTATAGGCCAGTTATAGATTGGGGTGGTCGCCACTTTCCTGTACAGTTGGACGATTTGGGTACAGGGGTGCACATGATGCCTTTGCTACCATTATGCTCTTGCTAGGAGTCACGTGCGTCCCTGTGCCTTTATGGAGGAGTGGCCAACCTCCACGCATACCTGCCCCTAATCCAGACCTTGAAATTTCCACTCGCCTGCTCGCATTGGTGAGTGGAAATTATGGTGGAGGCGAGTGTGTCCCCAGGGCCGTCTTGTTGAGCAGGCCGGATCTGTCACTGCGCTGTGCTCTCTGCCTCCCCCTAGAGTGCAGTACCCAGCACTGTGAGTGAACGTAACAAAGTACTGCAACTTTTTATAGGGCTGTGTGTGTGTGTATTTGTATGTGTGTGTGTGTGTACATGTGTGTGTGTGTATTTGTATGTGTATGTACATGTATCTGTGTGTGTGTTTGTGTGTGTCTGTGTATGCATGTACATGTGTCTGTGTGTATATACATGTGTGTATTTGTACATGTGTTTGAGTGTATGTACATGTATGTGTGTGTGTACATATGTCTGTGTGTGCGTGTACATGTGTGTGTGCATGTACATGTGTGTGTATGTACGTATATGTGTCTGTGTGTGTGTATTTCTGTGTATGTACATGTGTCTGTGTGTATGTACATGTATGTGTGTCTGTACATGTGTCTGTGTGTGTATACATGTGTCTGTATGTGTGTGTGTGTGTGTGTGTGTGTGTGTGTACATGATTCTCTGTGCGTGTGTGTACATGTTTCTGTGTATGTGTGTGTGTATGTACATGTCTGTGTGTGTGTACAGGTCTCTGTTTGTGTGTGTGTATATACATGTGTCTGTATGCAAACCTACATGTATGGGTGGTTGGGTCAGGTTCAGGATGATGTGGTTATTATGGGAGTTAGAGGATGGGGCACTTGAGGTATTGCTGGGTTGGATAGTAGGTAGGATATGCTTGGTAGAGTTATGGTTTTGTGAGTGAAAGATTATGGGGGGTTATGGTTGTATGCGGTGCATGGTCTAAGTATCATGGAGTGTTTAGGGGGACATTGGAGGCCCTGATGTAGCATAAGGGGACTCTGGGGACCCTGATATAATGTGGGGGGACTCTGGGTACCCTGATGTAATGTGGGGGGACCCTGATGTAATGTGGGTAACATTTAACAGTGTAATTTCATGAAATAATTTACGAGGGCGTGTTTAGGGGCGGATTTAGGGGTGTAGCAGGGTAGGGGTTGGGTGGGGCAACTGGTGGCAAGCAACTCTTAGTTCAGGACTTGAAAATTTAAGCCCTGCCCTAATCTATCTATTCTTATATATGCTCCCAGTATGGAGACTCTGGAAATTTAGAATTAGGACCGCAGTATATGCAGAGGTCTCTTGGCGTGGGCACTGTGGCTTACGCATATATTTGCAAATGTGTGCAAACAAAACCCTTTGTTTTTAACACAAACTGTTAGGCAGGGCCAATTTGGTTGTTTTGCTGGCTGGTCGGTAAGTGTGCATGGAAAATCTTTTGTTTTTTTATGCTGTGCATTGCCCTTTCATATGTACCTTGCTGTATATGCCAGTTATAGATTGGGGTGGTTGCCACATTCTCGTACAGTTGGACAATTGGGTGCAGGGACATAGCCTTTGCTACCATTATGCTCTTGCTGGGAGTCATGTGCGTCCCTGTGCCTTTATGGAGGAGTGGCCAACCTCCAGGCACACCTGCCCCTAATCTATCCATTCTTATAAATGCTCCTACTATGGAGACTCTGGAAATTTAGAATTAGGACCGCGGTATATACAGAGGTCTCTTGGCGTGGGCACTGCAGCTTACACATATATTTGCAAATGTGTGCAAACAGAACCCTCTTGTTTTAACACAAACTGTTACAATGAGGAACAGAAGTATTTGAACACCTGCGATTTTGCAAGTTCTCCCACTTAGAAATCATGGAGGGGTCTGAAATTCACATTGTAGGTGCATTCCCACTCTGAGAGACAGAATTTAAAAAAAAATTCAGGAAGTCACATTGTATGGTTTTTAAAGAACTTATTTGTCTTGCACTGATGAACATAAGTATTTGAACACCTGAGAAACAGCAAGAATTCTGGCTCTCAAAGACCTGTTACTGTGCCTTTAAATAGTCCACCTCTACTCCACTCATTAATCTAACTTAGTAGCACCTGTCTGAGCTCTTTAAAGACACCTGTCCACACCACAGTCAGTCAGACGCCAACTACTAGCATGGGCAAGACCAAAGAGCTGTCAAAAAACACCAGAGAAAATTGTGGACCTCCACAAGGCTGGAAAGGGCTACGGGGCAATTGCCAAGCAGCTTGGAGAAAATAGATCAACTGTTGGAGCAATTGTTAGAAAATGGAAGAGGCTAAAGACGACTGTCAGTTTCCCTCGGACTGGGGCTCCAAGCAAGATCTCACTTCGTGGCGTATCACTGATGATAAAAGTGAGGAATCAGCCCAGAACTACAAGGGAGGAGCTGGTCAATGACATGAAGAGAGCTGGGACCACAGTTTCAAAGGTCACTGTCGGTAGAACACTACGCCGTCATGGTTTCAAATCATGCATTGCACCGAAGGTTCCCCTGCTCAAGTCATCACATGTCCAGGCCCGTCTGAAGTTTGCCAATGACCATCTGGATGATCCAGAGGAGGCATGGGAGAAAGTCATGTGGTTAGATGAGACCGAAGTAGAACTTTTTGGTCTAAACTTCACTCGTCGTGTTTGGAGGAAAAAGAAGGATGAGTTGCATCCCAAGAATACCATCCCTACTGTGAAGCATGGGGGTGGTAACATCAGCTTTGGGGGTGCTTTTCTGCGAAGGGGACAGGACGACTGCACTGTATTAAGGAGAGGATGAATGGGGCCATTTATTGGGAGATTTTGAGCAACAACCTCCTTCCCTCAGTCAGAGCATTGAAGATGGGTCGTGGCTGGGTCTTCCAACATGACAACGACCCGAAGCACACAGCCAGGATAACCAAGGAGTGGCTCCGTAAGAAGCATATCAAGGTTCTGGAGTGGCCTAGCCAGTCTCCAGACCTAAATCCAATAGAACATCTTTGGAGGGAGCTGAAACTCCGTGTTGCTCAGCGACAGCCCCGAAACCTGACAGATCTAGAGGAGATCTGTGTGGAGGAGTGGGCCAAAATCCCTGTTGCAGTGTGTGCAAACCTGGTCAACAACTACAGGAAACGTTTGACCTCTGTAATTGCAAACAAAGGCTTCTGTACCAAATATTAACACTGATTTTCTCAGGTGTTCAAATACTTATGTTCAACAGTGCAAGACAAATAAATTCTTTAAAAATCATACAATGTGATTTCCTGAATTTTTTTTTTAATTCTGTCTCTCAGAGTGGGAATGCACCTACAATGTGAATTTCAGACCCCTCCATGATTTCTAAGTGGGAGCACTTGCAAAATCGCAGGGTGTTCAAATACTTCTGTTCCTCACTGTAGACAGGGCCAATTTGATTGTTTTGCTGGCTGGTCGGTAAGTGTACACGGAAATCTTTTGTTTGTATGTTTATGCTGTGCATTGCCCTTCCATATGCACCTTGCTGTATAGGCCAGTTATAGATTGGGGTGGTTGCCACTTGTACAGTTGGACGATTTGGGTGCAGGGACGCACATGATGCCAAGGCTGCCATCATGCTTTTGCTGGGAGTCACGTGTGTTCCTGTGCCTTTACGGAGGAGTGGGCAACCTCCAGGCACACCTGCCCCTAATCTATCCATTCTTATATACTGTATGCTCCTACTATGGAGACTCCGGAAATTTAGAATTAGGACCGCAATATATACAGAGGTCTCTTGGCGTGGGCACTGCAGCTTACACATATATTTGCAAATGTGTGCAAACAAAACCCTTTGTTTTTAATGCAAATTGTTAGGCAGGGCTAATTTGGTTGTTTTGCTGGCTGGTCGGTAAGTGTGCAGGGAAATCTTTTGTTTGTTTGTTTATGCTGTGCATTGCCCTACAAATGCACCTTGCTGTATAGGACAGTTATGGATTGGAGTGGTTCCCACTTTCTTGTACTTTTTCACCTTTTTACTGATAAAGCCCTATAGGTACTTCTGCTTGTTTTTTGTGTTTGTTTTTGCACAGTATGCCTCATTAGTAATGATTCACCCATTGCTTACCTGTAGAATTAACAGTAATGCTGTAATGTGTTACCAGCATACTGATTTCATTTTGGGCTTTTATGCTCAAGCAGTAGCGTCCTGCTGTGTTGAAGGTATGGTTTATATTGTAGGTGGTGTTATTTATCACCACTGGGTGGCAGTCTTCATCCAAAGACACGCAATCGGACTTCATAAGCCAGCAAACAGCCAATGGAGGACTGAAACACACAAAGAGGTGTCATATGATTAGACAAGAAGATTGACACATCAAATAAGGTGTCATATATTTAGACAACAAAATAAACCCATTTGACTAATAAACTTCAAGGAACCTCTTTGGTGACAAAATGTTCTCAAGACAGGATAAGAGTAGAACTCTCCGACATGGAGACATGAGGAGCAATAAAAAAAAATAGATTAAAATGGGGGAAGGCAGGAACCCCTGTTAGTTTATTATTGCTTTCTGTTTTCCCTCACTTCCTATCAACTTCCCAACACAAAAAAGTTTTAGATGGAGTTATACTTTAAATATTGACACATGGATCAGGGGACCATCAACAGTCTACAGACCTGCACTGTACAAGAGGATGGCAATGGCCCACCCACAGCCTGGAGCACCAGACAGAGCATCAGTTCCTTCCCCAGCCACAAAAACTGCACTGAACCCATAAGTGATGAAATCCCATCACTTGCAAGTTCATTTGCTGGTGGGGAGATCAGTGAATGTGTGTGCGTTGCTCTTCCTCCACTCTCACCACCAACACCCGCCTGCCCAAAATGGGACTGCAAGGCGAAAAGAGAACTCCGAGATACATGTTACAGAGGTTGGCAGGAGAAAACTCTACCCTACAAGAGGTGTAGAAGTGAGTCCTTCCACCAGAATGCCAACAGTCAGCTTAACGTACTGCGTGTAAGTCCATGTTGCTGCCGACATAAGCTTTACATCAGCAGGAGGGTAAAGGTAAGAAGAACACATCACTGACCTCTTTAGTTACATGCACTGTGAACCAATTTATCCTAAGTGATCATCACAGCAGAGACTCCGAAGTAAGTTTCAGCGATTTCTAGTAGTTTACAAGCACATGGTATTTGTTTACATTAGACAGCTGGCAGGCTGCCAAGTCATCACTCCCACTGGAAATGAGGGGAGGTTAGTTATGATTTCAGTGCTTCTGTTGTGGACATTGAAGATTAATTTCTCTTCAAAGTCTTAAGCTAGAGAGGTCAGAGAGGGCTTTTTAATGTGTGTTTACTGCTTGTTAATACTTGCAAATATTTTAATGTACATAGTTTGGATGCAGGTCTACTCTAAAATGAAAAAGGACATTTTTTACAAGAGAAATAAAGAGGCTGTCATGGCTGACCTCTTGTTGAATTCTCTAGGCGCCTGGCTGTCTTTTTCAACAATACTTTTTAATTTTAAAGTGTTACTAAACCCAGGACCCTGCATTCAGTATATCTGGTCTTCCACAGTACACACAACATGGAAATGCAATTATTTTAGTAAATATAAACCACTAAATACCCAGCAGTTAGTCTTGGTTCACACTAATGCGACATGAAAATCACGTGACTTGCAGTGCGACTTTGCCAAGCGACTTGAGTACTACTTTGAAGCAACTCTGAAGCAACTTGGAACATGGAATGATTGGGTAATCTTCCTGTAATGTCGGATCCAAATCATTATCATTATAGATGAGGATCATTATAGATGAGGATCTGACTTGGAGATGACATCTATTAAGGTATATGGGAACAAGTCGGATAGAAGTTGTCTTGACGTAGTACAAGAGCCTTTTCTAAAGTCAGAGCGACTTCGGTAGTGCTAATTAAGATGTCTCTCATTGACTAACATGAGATTTCACATGTCATGTGACTTGGGGTCTCACAAGTCAGATCACAAGTCGCGGCCATGTGAACCAAGCCTTAGAGCAGTCTTGTGACTTCTATCAGTGTACAGCAGAGCACTGGTTAAAACTTGTAGGAGGAGTTTTCATTCTCCTGATTGTCCTATACAGCTGCATGGCCCCTGACCCTCTGTCTGAACAGCGCTGATTGGCCCTGTGCTGATCACATGTACTCTCCCCAAAAAAAAATAAAAACTCTCTAACAATAAACACCAAACTGAGCATGCACAGCTTGCCCCCAAGGCTCTGTTTTATCAGCAGATTGATTGGGGACAGTAGAAGAAGGGGAGGATCAGAGAAGACAGGATCAAACATCCTTTTTACACAATGCAGAGGATTAACCCTTTAGGTTCCACAGTGAGCATAACAAGCATGTTTTGCTGCATATACAGACTGATTTTACTGCTGTGGGTTTAGTAACACTTTAAGTCACTGACCTTGAACAAGTATGCAGCAATTAAAGTCTCAACCCCAAATCTGCATTGTTTTCAGGTAAGTTACTTAGAATGCAGTGAAATCAGAGGATCAGTGTGATATGCAAGCGACTACCAATCTCCTAATTGGATCAGCAATGGAAGAACTGTATTTTTCTGATGACAGCATTCATTTCAGTAGAAATACTGGTAGCTCACATATATACACATATACCTGACATTATAAAGAAGCACCAGAGCAAAGCAGAGGCATAGAAAATGAGAACCTGAGAATAGATATATCAACGGTGTCACTGCCTCTGTAAAGTACTGTGACACCGTTGATATATCACGGTGTCACTCTGTGTAAAGCACTGTGACATAATTAGCTATAACTATACCTCCAGTCATATTATCACAAATTTGGAGAAATATTTCAATTATATACTAAATACATTATTACTACACATTTCTACAAGGCTCTAAAGTCACATGCAATTATACTGGCATTTACAATACTGCAGTTATCAGTCTTTAGAGAAATTTAGCAGTAATTTAGAAATTATGTCATACAAGGTTGGTGCATAATTATTTCTTCACAAAACACTACCCTAAAAATGACAAGACAACTGTACCCAGCTACTGATACTGTAAATGATATGCATATAATACATATTCCCACTGTTTTCATAAAAGACAAGGGTGTTGCATGCGGCCCAAGAAGGCTATGAATGTGGTCTAAGCTAGGTTCACACCTATGCAGTTTGCGTTTGATCCATTTGTGCACTGAGTTTTGCTTTACGTTTTTGATGCATTTTTGATGCTTTTTTTTTCTTGTTGCTAGGCAGATTTAAAACGCAAAACGCATCAAAAACGCACTACATGCTTTTCTGTAGCATTTCCATTGAAGTCTATAGAACCAAAAACGCAACTTTTTGCATTCAAGAAAGTCCCTGACCCTTTCCAAAAAACCGCACCGGGTGAAAACGCAAAGATGTGAACGTGTTCCATAGGAAATTATGTTAAACAGACTGTAGTGCATTTCTGAAAAACAGAAAACGCTGCGGAAACCGCTTACGTGTAAGACTAGGGTAAAACAAAATCTTATATATACTTAAAAATGTTGATTTTTTTTTTTCTACATATGTAAGAATGCGGTTACATTTTGTGAACACATGCGGCCAAAGAAAAATGACAGTGTCTCTTTACTGGAAGTTTAATCTTCGCAAAGAAAAATATCCTACTCTCCACAATCACGCCATATTCATGTCATCAGTTTTCGTCAGAACCTATATTTGTGAGCAGCTATTTTTAGGAATGAAGCACACGAAGGGCAAAATTAGAATCAAAATATCTGATCAGCCCCTTGAGAATTCATTGAGACTTGCTATTACATCCATGGAATCAAATAGTTTATCAAAAACAGTGTCAAATATTGCACTAGTTTTATGCTGCCTTCTTTTACTTTTATAATAAAAATAAATACAAAAACATGAAGTTTTTTTACTCAGATAAGTACATTATCTTTATCAGTGCTTGTTAACTTGTGATCTGCCTGACTTTTTCTGCTCTCCAGCTATCCTTATTGTTAGTGGATTTTACGTGCGGCCCAAGACAATTCCTCCTTCCAATGTGGCCCAGAAAAGTCAAAAGGTTGGACACCCCTGAATAAGCATTCCATTCTAATTTACTGATGGAGCACATAATAATATAACATGCATTTTCTACTGACTTTTGGTCCTGGTTGTGAGCCTAATCTTTACTGAGCAAATAAAACTTGTGAAATACAGTTTTAAAGATTGTCCTTTGTTTCCTTGGGACTCGCTTAGGACAACTTCTGGTTACAACAGGGATGTATAGTTGTGTAGCAACACAAAGGGAGGGCATTTGTCCTTTGGGTCAATTCTAAAAAAAATGTTGGGCTAGAGCAGTGATGGTGAACCTTTTAGAGAACAAGTGCCCAAACTGCAGCCAAAACCCCACTTATTTATCACAAAGTGCCAACACAGCAATTAAACCTGAATACTGAGGTTTTAGTTTAGAAAAAACAACCCACTGACCACCAGCAGAAGGGAGCAAAGTTCCAGTGACCTCCAGCACAAGGAGGCAAAGTTCCACTGACCACCAGCACAAGGGGGCAAAGTTCCACTGAACACCAGCACAAAAAAGTAAAGTTCCACTGGCCACCAGCACAAGAGAGCAAAGTTCCACTGAACATCAGTACAAGGGAGCAAAGTTCCACTGACCACCAGCACAAGGGGGCAAAGTTCTACTGAACACCAGCACAAGGGGGCAAAGTTCCAATGAATACCAGCACAAGGGGGCAAAGTTCCAATGAACACCAGCACAAGGAAGTAAAGTTCCACTGATCACCAACACAAAGGGGTAAAGTACCACTGGACACCAGCACAAGAGAGCAAAGTTCTACTAACCACCAGCACAAGGGAGCAAAGTTCCAAGGAACACCAGCATAAGGGGGCAAAGTTCCACTGACTACCAGCACAAAGGGGTAAAGTTCCACTGGACACCAGCACAAGACAGCAAAGTTACACTAACCACCAGCACAAGGGAGCAAAGTTCCAAGGAACACCAGCATAAGGGGGCAAAGTTCCACTGACTACCAGCACAAAGGGGTAAAGTTCCACTGGACACCAGCACAAGACAGCAAAGTTACACTAACCACCAGCACAAGAGGGCAAAGTTCCAATGAACACCAGCACAAGGAAGTAAAGTTCCACTGACCACCAGCACAAAGGGGTAAAGTTCCACTGGACACCAGCACAAGACAGCAAAGTTACACTAACCACCAGCACAAGAGGGCAAAGTTCCAATGAACACCAGCACAAGGAAGTAAAGTTCCACTGACCACCAGCACACAAAGGGGTAAAGTTCCACTGG